CCCCCCCCCCCCTTCCCCCCTTTTCCCCTAATTGATGAAGGAAAAATGATGATTTTTAGCTTCCAAAGTTTGAATGAGTATCGGTTGAACTTTAGTAAAAGGACCCTATACACCTTTGTACAAGAACAACACAACATTGTGTGTATTAACCTTTGGAAGGGGAAAAAAAGACATACCCCAAAAAAATGGGAAATAATGACTCATAGTGATATTATTTGACCTTTTACTGTGTCTATGAGGGCATACTCAAATTTGTCCATGGCGTTAGCTGGATTGTTGCCCCTATGTATTGATGGTATTTTCATTGTATAGGCGACATCATGTAGGATGATGTCTCGGTGCCTACTTTATGTTTTCTTTCTTTATTTTTTTTCATTTCTTCATAATTAATGAAGTCCAATCATGAACATAAAGTTATGAAGTATAGATACTCCGTTAAGGTGGACATATTCGTACTGGATACGATATTCATTGGATATTCAAGAATATGTATTGGATACGTATTTGAAAATAAATAAATATCTGAATACTTCGCTAATAGGTATCCAAAATGAATAATTCTTTGAATATGGAAGTCCATATGAATATGTATAATTTTAATCTTCACTCTTGCCTTAAGACCATAATGTGACGATCAATACTTTTTTGAAACTAAAAATTACTAATTTTTTGTATCATTGTTGAATAATTTACTAACAATTATAATTATCAAGCCGTCAAATAGTAGTAATGATATAAAATATCTATTACGTATTCTGGGCATATCCGTGTTATAATTTTTTATGTTTTTCCGTATTGCTATATCCATATGATAGCATACTCGCTTCCTGCATCTGTATCCACCCTTCCTTGTCAAGAATACAAAGCAAGACAAAAAGGGAACAGGATTCCTTCCAAGTTGAGAACACATAAAACAGATGAGGTTCTAAAGATATCCGTGTGGGAATGTCCATAATGGGTATCAACGAAGAACAAACCTAAACATTATGCTGGTAATTTCATTGCCACCATAACTCTCTGTCTCTCTCGCACCTCTCTCTCGGGGCAAATAGCAATTCCAGAATATGGGAATCCGGCTCAGGTATCCTGATGATAATATTTTCTTTCTTGATTTTGCAGTTACCCTTAGTATTGACATAATTCCTTCTTAAAGCTTCTCTAATCCTCCCTTTAATTGCTTAAGTTACATTAAAAATGAAATGCTTGTTATTTCTTGTATTGTTTTAAATTCTTTGTGCTGACATAGAGTTTGCTTTATTACATTGACATAAAAGCTTAATGTTTTGCAGCTGGTCATGCAACAGAATCTTTTTCAGATTTTGTTGTAGGACATGGAGAGTTGTGGTCTGCTCAGATTTTGTCGTCTCTTATCATAAAGGTGGTGATGGGGTTGCTTGCTTTTTATTTTGGACAAGTCTGACTTATGCAAGTAATGTCTATCAGTCTGATTTATTTTTCCTCGCTGCAGAATGGGGTGGACTGTACTTGGATGGACACGAGAGATGTCCTTGTTGTAAATCCCACTAGTTCTAATCAAGTTGATCCGGATTATTCACAAACAGAAAAAAGACTTGAGAAGTGGTTCTCAGAAAATCCCTCCAAGACAATTATTGCTACTGGTTTCATAGCTAGCACACCTCAAAATATTCCAACAACTTTGAAGAGAGATGGAAGTGACTTCTCTGCTGCTATTATGGGTGCTTTATTCAGGGCACGCCGAGTCACAATTTGGACCGATGTTGATGGTGTGTATAGTGCAGATCCTAGAAAAGGTGTGTGCTCACCCTTCTTTTGGGATATCATTGAATCTCAGGTGACAAACAAAATAAAAATTGCTATGTCATATACCTTTTCTCCAAATAAGGAACAGGCATATATGTATTATGAAAAAGTGGTATAAAAGACAATGAAATGACTCTGGGCAATATTTCCCAACCTCGCAAAAACCAAAAAAAAAAAACAGAAAAGAAAAAAAGACTACACAAGAGGGGTCGCTATGATTAGGCATAACTATAAATCAGAAAGAACTCTCCATCCAGCTAAAATACAGGAAAGACAGATTCTTTCAAAATGCATGGTGCTTGTAGCCCAGAAAATGCCAAGAAGAAGATCCAGTTGCACAAACCTCCAAAACCTTGCATTTGGTTTCAGATATTCGACCCTCGTCCTCAAATAATAACATCAAGGAGCCCCCAAGCTTGAGCTTGCCAAATTAAACAACTTGTCCTACAAAGTCAATGCAAGGGCAACACAAGAATAAGTGATCGACATTGTCATTGTCACATTGACACATCACACACAACTTTAGAGAAAGACAAGCATGAGCTTTCTCCTTCAAAGCATATCATTGTAATGGTTAATAGTCCATGCACACACCTACACCTTACAAAGCACTCCAGCCTTCCATATCATTAGAGGTGTGGGAAATATTGCACAAGAAAGATCATCAATCAACACTGTCTTCCAAGCCTTTCCTCCACACCAATTAGCAGAGAGAGAAAATAGAGAAAAAATTATCTTCTTCTTTCTAAAATCTAGCAAGATCCGAGCGACGACTCGCTTATGAGTAAGAACTAAAGTTGCTCACAACGATGAGAGCTACGCGTGGGTACCATCCTCGCTCAATTGTGACACATTTCGGAAATCAAAGTTTTGGTTCGGGATTGAACGAAACATCATTTGATATCGTGAGGAGTTGAGCTACCTCGTATGCACGCTACAAGAGGTAGAGGTAGGGTTCTTTCTCATCTAGGTTTACTTTTAACTTAGGGTTGCAATATGAAATGAATAGGGCTATAGAGATGTAATCCCACATGTTAGCTAATACCTAGTGTATCTAGGGTATGGAAAATGAGTATATGAGCATGTTAAAAACCATTTCTAGCTTGATTTGTGTTTGGTTTCGAAAATGTGAACCTATTGGTAGGAGAGGCACGACCTAGCGGTTGTAAGGTGTTTGGATATGATATCATGTCTTAATTCAAGTTAATCATGGTTTAATTACAGACATCCAGATTTTGGGGTGTCAGCTTGGTATCAGAGCGAATTGATATCATGGCTTCATTCAAGTTAATCATGGGCTAATTACGGACACCCGGGTTTTGGGGTGTCATAGGTTAGTATCAGAGTTTAGGTTCTCAGTTTACCTAGGGTTTGCGGGATATGGGTCTAGGCCATTACATCTATTGAGCATTGCATATTACATGTGATATGTGTTATGTTTTTTATGTGAATTATATGCATGACTAAATGTATATAGGAATGAGACACTAGGGTTATAGAACATAACCTTTGAGTGGAAGGAAAAAGGGTAGGAATCTGGGCTGTCCTACTAGTAGAAGGGGCTTTTGTGGCCTTACTTACCTGTAGAATTTTTCTGTAAGTTTTCCTACCGGTAGAACATTTTCTCCTACTAGTAAGACTTCTCTGACAAAGTACTAGGACATTTCCTAACAGTAGAACATTTTTCACCTATCGGTAAAACTTCTCTGATTAAAAAAATGTAAATTTATGTGAATTTTTCTATTGGTAGAACACGTACAACCTATCGGTAGAACAAGAGAAAAGTTTTCTACAGTCTTGGCTTTTGATCCCCATCTCAGAGATGTTAAGTTAGTTGTTTATTGCTATTTCGTGGGTGTTTAGATGGCAACTAGAAGACGAGGATGTCGACTTAGTTGAGGGGATGGTTAGAACAACCAACTACCACTACCTCCTGTCTACAATCAAGGGGCATTTATGGATGCCATGACAGCTATAACGACTACTTTTGTACATGCTAGGCCTAACATGGGTCAAGGAGGGTTGAATAGCCTCCAAAAGTTTAAGTCACACAAGTCACCTTTCATGGGGAAGTGGACTCGATGGTGCCGATCATTGGTTTCAACAGGTGGACAAGATTTTTGAGGCGATGGAAATCACCTTGGATACCACAAAGATTAGGTTTGCCACCTTTCAACTCGAAGGGGAAGCCCATTAATGGTGGGTATGGGCAAAGTCATTAAGAGACTTAGAGGCCATGAAGTGGGTCGAGTTCAAAGAGTTGTTGATGAACAAATATTTCCCTTCCGCTCTTCGCTCTCCCCTCTCAGATTAATAAAGGGCCAAGAATTCTTAGACCTAAAGCAAGGGACGATGACAATCATGCAGTGTGTTGGCAAGTTCACAGAGTTGACACGTTTTGTGGATGACTATGTAGTTACAGATTTGGCCAAGGTGCAAAGGTTTGAGGATGGCCTAAGCTGTACATCCAAAAGAATATCGTTGGCCATAGGTTACACGACCTTGATGAGATGGTTGACCATTGAGAGAGGTTGAAGATGCTAAGAGCATCCAGGGGGTTGGAACCAAGGACAAGTAGAAAGAGGGACAGTCCTCCACTACTAGTTCGGGGAAGATGCAGAGGACATCTATGCCTCAAGGATCGCATAGGTAGGGTCGAGGTTATCAAGGTCAAGGCCGAAGTCAATTCTCCCAAGGTGTGGGAGAGATTTTAGGAATCCCTATTAGGGGGCTAAAAGATATGCTACATATGTCACAAGTTGGACCATTTGAAGCAGGATTGTCCTCAGAAATATGGATCACAGAGTTATAGGATATCTCAGTCCTAGTCATCGGTGGGGCCTCACAAACATGTTATATTACTCCCTAACCCTATCTTACTGTGGGCCAGAGAAATCAATTCCAATTCTAGGGTATTACACAAGCCCCTACTACTTTATATGCGAGGACTCTACAATCAAGCTAGATGGACCAGGGTGTAGGCCAAGGTCAGGACGAGGCTATCAGACCAGTACTTCAGGGACCTAGGGGTGAGTCTTTGCCATCACTTCTTAGNCGAGGACTCTACAATCAAGCTAGATGGACCAGGGTGTAGGCCAAGGTCAGGACGGGGCTATCAGACCAGTACTTCAGGGACCTAGGGGTGAGTCTTTGCCATCACTTCTTAGACTGAGTCGGTAGATCAGTTGGTGATTTAGGATATATTCATTCTCTCTAGATTATGGACTAGAGTATTGTTTGATTCTGGTGCATCACACTCTTTTATTACTACATCATGCATACGAGACTTGGGCTTAGTGGTCGAGACCCTAGAGGAGCCTAGGTATGTGAGTTCACCTCTAGGAGCAAGGGTTGACCTTAGGGTCATATCCATAAAGGAGTTCGACGTCATCTTCGGGATGGATTGATTGGCAGCACATCGAGTCGTCATCGACTATGATCGGAAGAGGGTTACTGCTTATACATTAGAGGGTGTCTGTTTCAACTTTTAGGGTGAGAAGCATAATGCTTTACCCCAGGTGGTGTATGACTTCTGCTGGCACAGGCAGTTGATGAGTTGACTTGTTAGTCTTACCCTAGAGGACGAAGTGATGCAGGAGCTAGGTCTGCCTCGAGTTGCCTTGAGTTGTGTGTGACTATGTGAATGCCTTTTTGGACAAGTTATTGGGGTTGTCACCTCATCGGGATGTAGACTTCACTATTGAGTTACACTCTGGTGCATCCCTTACTTCTATGACACTGCATAGGATGACACCTGCAGAGTTACATGAGCTAAAGGTCCAGTTATAGGAACTGTTGAATAGAGGCTTCATTAGGTCGAGTACCTTACCTTGGAGTGTTCTAGGGTTATTATTTGCCAAAAAGAAGGGCTGGACCCTTAGGCTCTACATTGACTATCGACAGTTGAATTAGGTTATTTGCTAGAATAAGTATCTACTGTCAAGGATCGATGATCTTTTTGACCAATTGAGAGGGGTACGAGTCTACTCCAAGATAGATCTGCGCAAGGGATACCATAAGTTGAAGATTAAGGAGGTTGATATCCCTAATATGGTGTTTAGGGCGCGATACGAGCATTTTGAGTTTAAGGTGATGCCTTTTGGGTTGACGAATGCCCTAACAGCATTCATAGATTTCATGTACAGGATGTTTCAAGCCTATCTAGATTAGTTCGTTGGGGTCTTTGTCGATGATATATTGATCTACTTTAAGCTTGAGGAGGAGCATAAGGGTCACTTGAGGATTGTTCTCTAGACCTTGAAAGACTATCAATTATATGCCAAGTTCAACAAATGTGAGTTTTAGCTGACAGAGGTGAAGTTTTTAGGTCACGTGGTGTCTGTTTCGGGTGTATCTGTTAACCCAGAGAAGTTGGAGACAGTGATGAGTAAGGAGAGGCCGAAGTTAATCTTTGAGACACGAAGTTTCTTAGGATTGACACGATACTATCGAAAATTCATCGAGGACTTCTCCCAACTAGCAACACTTACGATGAGATTGACTACGAAGGAGGTCAGATTTCGATGGGATGCCTCATGTGAGAAGGCATTCTAGGAGTTGAAGGGGAGATTTACTTTAGCTCTTATTTTTATAGTGTCGGAGAAGGGACAGAGATACACAGTGTATTGTGATGCATCGAAGGTGGACTGGGATGTATCTTGATGCAGTCTTAGAGGGTAGTTACTTATGGTTCTCGACAGCTTAAAGACTACGAGAAAAACTACCCTATACATGACATGGAGGTGGTGGTTGTTGTCTTTGCCTTGAAGGCATGATGATACTGTCTTTAGGGAGAATAATTAGAGGTGAACTCTGACCATAAGAGTTTGAAGTATATATTCAGCGGGACCTCAACATGAGGGCAGTGCAAGTAGATGGAGTACCCGAAAAATTACGACTTTACTTTACATTACCACCTTAGTAAGGTAAATGTGGTAGCGGATGCACTCAATTGAAAGTCATAGGGGTTTTTGGCTAGTATAACTTCCCGAGAGTGGCAGATGCTCGAAATTGTGGGGTAGACCGAGCTACATTATAGGGATCAAGCTTGGGGCATTTTGGGCAGTCTAGTGGCTACGCCTTCCTTATTGACCAAGGTGATTGAGTTCTTGGGGCAAGACACGGAGATATTATCCATTAGGGATTGGGTACATGCAAGTACAAGTGATGAGGGCTAGGCCATTCATGCGGATGCTAGCCTCAAAATATCAGGGCTGAGTTGTGGTACCTTAGTCCACTGACTTGCGGGATGAGATATTGAGGGAGTTTCATTGCTCCAGATTCGCAATGCATCCTGGCAGCACTAAGATGTATCATAATTTTTGTCATCAGTATTACTGGAATGGGATGAAGAGACATGTTAGAGACTTTATTAGTAGATGTTTGACGTGTCAGCAGGTTAAGGTTGAACACTATAGACCAATAGGATTGTTCT